GGCCCAAATTTCCTCCATTGGAAAGAAAGCAGAAGGATTAGAATGGTAACAGCTAATGTCTCCATACTCCAATCCTGTCATTCACATATGTGGAAATAGACCTGGAGAGCCTGTCATCCTTTGTCACTTATAGGAAGAGCATTAACATTTGAGAGACCAAGCATCTGTAAATGAGCTTCCTGCAGTGCATTTGAGGAGTGTGGCCTGAAGAGGGGACAGTCTATGTTAATGATCAAGAGTAATGGTTGAGTGTCTTGTGACACTAGTGTTAGCAGAAACAAAGAAAAATACTTTCTGCCTCCACCTAAGGGACATGGCACAGAGCAAGCTTAAGGTAGAATCATCATTTCACTAAAGGAGAAGAGCTACGAAGGGAAAAGCAAGTGCAGGAGTTCATGCTCTCGACAGGCCTCTGAGATCATTATGATGAATATAGAACTTTAATTCTAACAATGTTACTTGCCCAAGAATTCAGTGTGAGCAGGTGGCCTGTACCAGACCTTGGATCAATCAGGATCCAATTAGGAAAACCAGAGTATTTAAATGAAGGACTTTAATATAGGGAATTGAGTAAAGCAGGAAACAGGTGAAGAAAGAGATGAAGCCAAACAGAAAAGTGCGGCATCTTAGAAATTAGCAACAGGAGCAAGCCATAACCAACCCTAGGTTGGAGGGACACAGGACGAGGAGAAGCCACTGTTACATGGCGCCTTGGGCTACCTGGTGGGCTTTGGAACCATGGCAGTCTTGAGTGGTGAGAAGCGGAGGAGGGAAGAGACACAGCTACTGCTAGAGAAGATACAAGTGGCAAAGTGAATGTCAGGAGAAATGTCCTGTCTTCTCCCTTCCCAATCTCCAGTCTCCTACCAGTGTCCGCACTCCCACACTTCCATTGGCAAAAGCCAGCTGCAAGCCAGCTGAGACAGCTCTCTGGGAAGGGAGGCCCTGGGGTCAGATCTCCTTCCCTGTCATTGAGCCAGAGGAAGGGCAAGGAATGGATTCAAGGGCAAACAGGCCCAGGAACAGCACAAAGCCCAGTTAAGGGAGTTAAGTTAGAGAAGTCACAGGACTATGTTGCTAAAAAAAGAAAGTATGCATTCCAAAGACTGGGTTCGTAGAAAGTCTAAGAAAAATATATTTAAGATATATCTTCCCTTTTCTCTGCTTTGCTTGGCCAGAAGGTCAGAGGAAAATGGGAACATCTGCATGCACAACCCAAAAATTAGTTTTAATTTGGCTAGAAATGCTCATCAGAAAAGACAAACTGATTTTTCCTTTCTTTAATATCCTATTTTGTAAAACTTAGTCTACATGTAAGATCTTCTGTTTGTTGTGCTAGTGCATTTTATACATCAGAAAATCCTTGAATTATCAAACAAAGGCTCGTTTGACTAAATTACCATGCTGGCTTGACACTGAGATGTGGGGTTTGTTTTGAGTCTTTGTACAGTTAGTGACCTGCGGTATATTTTGATAAATGCCATTGCCTAAAACTATTCAGTAGGAAGTTTGGGCACCATCTGTGTTTGTTTCTGTAGGAGCAGTAACTGCCTAGAGAAAAATCTGATGCTCATTTCAAAGATGCAGTATAAACAAAATTCAAGATTATGCTTTTAACATAATTATTCCACCTTTCATTTACATAGTGCTTTATGCATTTAAAGTGATTTGATGGGCTTTCATTTAACAGATCTATACAAAACTTGTGGAAATTGGGTATGAGATTCTAAAAGATATAAAATTCAGCAAGGAAAATAACACTGAAATTAAGCAGTCTTTTAGAAGACTGTAAAAAACCATATAGTCTCATCTCCTGTTGATGAGAATACAATAAGTGTATTTTTTAAAAAAATATAATACACTTATTGAGCACCTTCTCTGTGCCAGGCACTTTTTAAAGTGCACCACATATATTAACTCATTTAATCACCAAAACAATCCTATGAAGTAGGTGCTATGATGTTCTCATTTAAAGGATAAAGAGACAAAAGCACAGGGAAGTTAATTGACAGCTAATTAAAGATTTAAGCCTAGGCAGTCTAACAAAATACTGTCTCCCTTAAGCAGTGCCTTCTATAAATATTTACTCAGCAAGCAATATTCCTAATTAGAGATGTATATTTATATTTTTCTTTTTTTTCTTCAAAAATATGTATGTAACTCAGTGGCGTGCTGATAAACTAGCTCACTGGCTATCTGCAGAAGAAAAATAAAAGTCCCGATTGGCAGCATTTGCCACTTTCCAATGGTATAAATAGACCAGGGTCCACTACAAGCTACCAAGGTAAAGTCCCCGAAGCCTAGTTGAGAAGAGAAACACACAATCAGATCTCAGGAGCCTGTGTGAGCCGCTGCGGCACACCACCGGCCGATTAAAACTGCTATTGTACTAGAGATGCATGTGTGCCATGATGGGATGATTCTCTCTTGAAATATTCTGAAAACATGGATTCATTTGATTTTCGACTGTTTTATGCAATTGAATGTGAATTTACTGTTTTGGATATGTTCTTGTTCAATCACTGCTTATAAAGAATTATGTAATAATGTTTATTTTGGGTATGTTTTTCCCTGATTATAAACAGGCTTGCCTGGGGCAAGTAAATCACGTAGCACCTGCAGAGGGGAACAGGAGCGGCCAGAAAGGAACAACAGCTCATTAGGTGGCAGTAGGTACGTGCCATGAACTAGGTACCAACATTTTCCAAACCTTGGTCCCTAGGTTATTTTGCAGCCAATATGGTTACTCAGATTCTACTTAGCAATTTGGAAGTCTTGGGGTTTGGTCCAGCTACAAATTCCATGTGTGTGTTATATCATATAGTCACCTCAAGAGTTCATTGCACAGTCCTTTAGGACGGTGTGACCATTTGTTTAAGCTCTTCAGTCACAGACCCATGTCAGCAGAACCAGAACAATGGGGACTGACAACCAGGACTTCCCTTTGGGGACGAAGACTGAGCTCATGGGCATCCTGTACTGTGATGACAGCTTCCACCCAAACTCCGTCCTCTGGATCTTACCCACCCCTTCCCTCATACCAAAATAAGTGGCTGTCTTTATTGTCAAAGCTGCCTCACACTGAAAATGTTTTACAAATCCATATCCACAACTACACACTGTGTGATGTAGTCCACTTTCCCCCGTATTCTCCAAAGCACTGAACACATACACGAATAATAAAATTAAAGCTTTCTGTTATCAGCTCACCCTCCTTTCCCATCTGTGTTCTGTTTTCTTTTCATTCTTCCTTCTTAAATTTTCCCTCTATGGAACAATTTCCAAAAGTATTATAAAATTCTACTGGGGGAATCTGAAAATCGGGCATTTTCCATAATGACAACAGAAAGTGAAGGAAGTTTGGCTTGACTGGTGCTGGGGAGACACAATGCAGTGTAAGGTAAGGATTCTTTGTGATCTTTTTAGTTGTGTTTTTAAGGCTCTGTTAACAATCCACACCAAAACAGTGATGAAACAGCTCTGTCCTACAAAAAAGCAGGTCAGCAGAGAGAGCCTGGGAAAGCTTGTGGAAGCTTTTAAAGCCTTCCTCCTGCCCACAGACCTGTGGAGGGACTTGTCTGAGAAGAGGGCTTTATCAGCTATTCCAGGCATAGATGTGGGAAGAGAACTCCTCTGCTGTTAAGATATTTGCAACTCCTTTGCCTTTTCCACTTTTTTTCTCTTCCCTTCAGTCTTTTTCTTGATAAGAAAAATCCTTAAAGTTTACTCTTACATGCTAATGATTGTGAAAGTCTTTGCTAGCCCATTGTTTTCAGGTCAGGAAACAAACAAGCAAGCAAACCAAAACCTTCACAGCTAAAATACTTGATCCTTCAAATGGAGACCATTGACATTTACCCCACAAACAAGGTGGAATGAATAAACCAAGTAAATCCAAAAGTCTCATTCGTTCAACAAATATATATTATGCATATTCCAGATACCAATCCCTATGCTAAAGACCTAAGAATCCAAATTTGAATAAAACATGGATCTTGCCTTGGTAGTTGGTAGTCTAAATTGCATTTACTATCTGTGGTTAAGTTTCTTTGCTATGGACATTAATCTATAATAACATATAATCTTTCAAGCAAGCTTTTAAATCTAATTTTCATGTAGCTATATCATAGATATATTAGAAAATAATTGAGCGTTTTCAGGCATTTATTGTTGTACATTTTCTTATCTATTCCAGACCAGTTAGTAATCTGAAATGCAGGAAAAAGTCTTAAGGACAAGATTTTACTTTAAGCTAAAAAAGAAAAAGAAAAAAAAAAGTTATGTTTTACTTACTGTCTGTCCACATCTGACCTTCCGTTTAAATCTTGTCTCTTCTATGAAGCCATCTTTTAAAATCTCAGCCCAAATTAACTTTTTAAATCTGCATAATTAACATATTAACATGTTCCACATATATTTTAATTCAGTGGTTGAATTCAGTGCATGTCAGTCTCAACCATGGAATTTAAAAATACACATTTCCAGGCTCCAATCTGAGAAACATATTTTGTTGATGCAGGTAGGGTCCTGGCATCTGTGTTTTTAAAACATACCATGCATGATGTTGATATGCACACCCAGTTAAGAACCACTGTTCAAACTGACCTATATGATTTGGCATTTTATAATAGCACACAATCCATAGTTATGCATGTATATTCTTGTACTCCTAAGTGAGCTGTAATCATCTGCTGGGTGTAAGCACAGACATATTTCTTTGTCCTCTGCAGCACACAGGACTTACTTTGCACTAGTAAGAATTTCTACACTTTTTGTTTGAAAAAATGACAAGGAATTTCCTTTCAACAAACTCTATATAATATTATCATACCTGTTTTTATATTCAAATTTTTTACACAGTGGTAATAATTTACTTATGAGAAAGTATTATTTATTCATATTTATTTAATATTGCTTTTCAGAAAGGTTTCTAAATTAGTGCAATCCCTAGAGAGTTTCAGAGAAGGATGCTCTCTCTTGCATAGTAGAGTGAAACTTAAGTTGGTTCAAATCCAAATTTTCTTCTTATTTGGCCTCTAGTAAGGAGAAAAACAAAAGAAAAGATAAAAAAGTATAAAAAGTGCATGTCCTTATTAAGCACTCAATGCACAATAGTTAATATAAATAGGAGGTTACAGAAGTCCCTTTGCCTCCAGGAATTTTCCTTTGCATTCAGATTCTGTGTGTTATATACTGATAACCAGTTGCTCCCAGAGACCTCTGGGCATAGAATGTCAGAGCTGTTGAAGCCTGCTGAAATGATTTAATCCATTAATCTTCATTTTTAACCTATGAACCAATTGAGGGCCAATAGCTAAAGCAATTCATACAATTCCTGGGGTTCAAATAATCTTCCTCACAGAGCTGTTTTAAGGGTCAGTGATATAACAAAGGGAAAGTCCCACATACGGTGTCTGGCATAAACTAGTTGCTCAACAAAGCATAATTATCATTATTATAATAATATTAATATCCTGTACTATAACCTGGATGAGTTTTAGTTCAGCTCAGTACTCTCTTCTTGCCTCTTAAGGTGCACAGTCCTTATAAAAATACAGTTATAAAAGCTAGAAAGAATAACAAATTAGAACTATTGATAATTTGAATGTATTAAGTAAAATGGAGTTAATTACAGTATATCAATCAGCAAATGGGAAGACAGTCTATCATCTTCTGGCATATGTTATTATAGAGTCAGACCTTTGCCTAGATTCAGGTTTGCCCACTGTGAAAGCAGGCCACGCTATTTAACTTCTCTAACTTTCTTTCTTTAACTGTAAAATGGGGACAATAAAATACTTGCCTCACTGAGTTATTGGGAAGAATTCATGATACAAACATTTCAAAGTCTCTGACAAATAGCAAACTTCCAATAAAGACTATTTATTATCGATAGTATTAAGATTTCATTATTATTTATAGATAAGGTAACCATAATTTGTCTCCCATACTGGAACACATCTGATAGTGAAAGGTAGTGGTAGCAGTAATTACACTGGGACAACAGGTGGACAACAGGTGGACAACAGGACACATGGTCAGTCCATGTGCCATGTATTTTCTAGCTGAAAGCAAATTCCTAAGGGAGTGTTATATTGTGCAGGAGAGTTTACATGGAATTCTTTGGAAAAAGTTCGAGAAGGTGTTAAGTATGAGTCAGATTCAAGAAGGGTACAAAAATGAGGTGCTGCCTTCTTTCAAACTCCTCTGAGACAAAATAGAAAGAGGCGTGGTGTTTCCACAGTACTTATAACTCATCTCAAGTCTTTCTAAAGGTCAGGTCCTGGGAGAAGCACTTTCATTTTAAAAACATTTTATTTAAGTACCTTCAATAAAAACTTTCTGAACTATCTTACACAATTTCCTGTCTCATTGAACAAACATATATCCTGTAATTTATAATCTCTAAATAAATTATTTTTTAATACAGAGGTTTATAGAGAATTTCAGGAGGGAACAAATAATCACCGTCTTAGTCTATAGTGTTCTGTTCCATTTGGCTCCCTTCCATCCCATTTCATCTTACAAACATTTATTGGAAGCCCCTATATATTGGCCCTCTCAGATAAAATCGAACTTTTCCTCTAATACAAAAAGGTGATATTTGGAATGACGACTACAAAGGACAACTACAATAATGCTTTAGACAAAAGCTCTATAAAGACCCATGGTGTACTGTGGATGACTTTGTTCTCTACAGGAACCTTGTGTCCCCCTTGCTCCTTATTACTAGAAATAGTCTGAACCTTCAACACATTCTCTCAACAAAATATATTTCCTTATTGATTGATTTTTCTTTTGGTTTTTAGTCTGTAATACAGGAATTCATAACCTCAAGTTATGGTGATAAAAGACATAAAAATCATGGGCATATGAAAATCAACACGTTATCACTATTCTGCTTCAATGCAGAATAAAATCAAAAGTTTTGCACTTGTTTGACATTAATTTAACGTCCTACTTAGCTTCATCTGATGTGAAGAATTGCTTCATCCATTTAAGCATTTCTGTTCAGGCTCATAATGAAGTGTTCTGTACCTGTCTTGAAAGCAGAGTTCATAAATGAAATCACAAATGGATGATGGGACTCACCTCTATTGCTAAAAACATTGAACTTCCAAATAGCATCAGATTTATTCCAGTTTTTGTTTTTTCTGTCGTACGTCTTCACCTGTAGTCCCAGATGAGCAGAACAACTTTAAAGCATATGCAGTCACACATATAGGCATCTATTAGGCATTTTCATATGGGATATCAATTTGCCTCATGGCAAATTTAACAACAGTAGCTGTTGTCAAACATATTCAAAACAAAATATATTATCATTCAACATTTTGTATTTCAGTGCTTTTTATTTCTGTTTTAGAAAAATAGTTTAACTTTAAGCAGCATTCTAGCTATGATCAGTCTCTCCTGAGGAAGTTTTTCATAAGACTGTATGAAGATAATGACAAATATTAGCCACTGTCAGAATAAGGCATGAGGCACATGAAAATATTTATAAGCAACTAAGGCGGGACAGTAAAAATGTGACTTTCTATGACTTGGCCAGGCTTCTGACTACAGCTGACTGCTATTTTGTAAAGTAACACTGGTCTAAGTCTCCTCGTAGGATACTTAATGGCATGTGCATCACAGGGCCTAATTGTTTTCCACCACAGGGTATGAAGCTTTATGTCCTCTATCAACCAAAAACAAACAGACATACTGCTTAATGGCTGTTCAATTAATGTTTATGTGCTACTTTTACACCCTGAATTATTTTGTGAATAAACTCTAAGAAGTCACTTGAGAGCTAAGTTTAGTGGAACATCAACTATTATTTAAAATTCCCAGGATTCTTATACTATCACATACGAATAGCTAGGGAATACAGAGCATGCATCAACATTCAAAAACCTTCCACTCTCCTGTAAGAATGAAAGAAAAGTTAAATGTTTAGAAGGAAATGATCTATGTAGCTCGAGCCTTGCTGCCTTTAAATTGAAGATCAAAATAGGATTGGAATAGAATTAACCAGCACAGAAAAACTCAACGATGAAATGTTTTATTATACCAGAAAGGCTCAGCTTTTGTATTTTAGTTGCTTTCTTAACTTATAACAACTCTTACTGATACTACTTCTTTTCTTATATAAAGCTTAGCACTTTTAAAGCACTAGTTGATTGGGTGTATTAATTCAACACCCTTCCTTTGGTAGAATTTTTGTAAAATTACTGAAAATATATTTTCATTGAAAGATTGTCATTTTTGGATTTATGACAAAAAATGTTTTCTAACTTTTGTAGCTATTTGGATATAGTAGTGTTATATTCATCCACTGCTACTCATTCTAATATAAGAACCCTGATATCTCCAGCACTAGGCAATTACTTAATAATATCCCTTATCACCCTAAATTAGTTGGTCATCATTAGACACAGAAAAAAAAAGGAACAAGAACTGAGGAAAAGAGAGTGCACATTTCCTTTTGGAAACTAAGAATCTTTTCACACGCATGATGTTTGCAAATGTTGATGAATATATATTTTAATAGAACTGTAGCTGTCCTCTTCTTCCTGTCCTGTGGTTTAACATGTCATCATCAGGTTTATAAACAGGCAAATGAGAGGCAAGTTTAAGAGGTATCAAATGTTCTTGACAACTTCCCACTAAGAACACAAGAAATGACAAACTTATCACCAACCTGGTTGGTTGAAGTTTAAAGTTGACTGCTTTTGATTATAAGGCAATGAGCCTTTCATTTTTTAGTTAATTTTGAGTTTCATAAACACTATTTCACTGAAACACATGCAGTAGAATTGATTTGATTAGCTTAGCAGTACAGTTTTATTATTTATGATAAATTGAGGTGGTTCTGTGGTGATAAAGCACATTAAGAAACATTTTAGCTGAGCAATTGACTTACTTTATCACAATTTTTAAATATATCATTATTTGAAATTAAAACAAAGTTTATTGTAACTTACTGGATACACTTTTTCTAGTTCTATATATTGTTAGCTAATAAGTCATATTCTAGTTCATGTCTAGTCTATTTCTGAAGCTACTAAGCAAGTAACATGTGACATAAAAATTTGAATGTGCTCAGTGGACATTTTATGATTAGGAATGAAATAATAAATCTTTAGTTTGACTTCCAATTAAAAATCAATAGAGTATGTTTCCTCAGTTATTTTATATCTGGTTTTCATATGTCAAAAATTAAGGTAGAAAAAAATTTTAGAAAATAGAGTATTGAGAATAAACTTTGGGTGTTATTATGTTAATATAAGCCATAAATCACTAGTGTTAAATGTAGCCAGAACTATTGGGAAATCTTTGTATTTTATGTAATATGCCTTCTTTCTATTAATTCTAGCATAAGAGTATGTTTTGAGACATAAGAGGAATTGCGTCACTTTTAAGTATTGCCTACATTCTCCACAAAGGCAAAGTGGAAGAGAGTTGATAGGCTGTTGGCTGATTTTGGCAAATGTCCTATTTTGAATAGACAATCAGTTCAGTAATACTTATTTCTAAATCTTACTTTTTTTAAGGTAGGAAAAAAACTTTTAAAACTGCCTAATCAACAAAATTAGAGGCTGGGTAAATATATACTATGTAAAATAGAAAATTTACGCAAGCAATATTCCATTAAAGTCTGGATTAAGAATGTTATTCCTGAGTTCTGCTAAGATTAGAATATCTCCTAAAGGAATAAGTATATCCAACATTAAAGATATTATAAAATCTGTATTCTATGCAGTATAAGCAAGACCTTTTTTTGTTTTTATTTTTACTCATAAAGATTATTCATAGCTATTTTTTACTCCAATAATTTGATTTTGAAATTTAATTCCATCATTATGCTTAGTCATCAACAAATTAACAGACTGTGCCTGGTCCTGAAATTTCTATTCTCAAATTCTATTTTGTTATCTATTTGTACATTGAAGGCATTAAAAATATATAAAATAACTACTACACTTAGGAACCAACAGTCTGATATGCTGAATAATTATATTTTGGTGTTGTTTATGGTCTTATTAAGAATAAAACATTTAGTTATATATACAAACCATTTGAGAACTGAGGTATGTGCCATTTCTACTACTTGATAAGTCTATAAAATTGAATGCAGCTGCAATACATTAACATAATCACTCTGGGTTATTTTGAGAAATAAGTTATACTTCTACTGCAGTAAAATGAAGTCCAATTAGAAAGTAAATGAAATAAAGCATTTATAACATGTCTTCACATTTCTAAAAATAAATTTAGTCTCAGAAGAGAAGAAAATGATAACTAATTCGATATTTACCAAATATCATTAACAGATAGTTTACCTTTATAAATAAATACACACTCGAGAAATTCTGTAGTATGTTGAAATCTTATTATTTTTTGCTGTGGACATTGCAGACATGTTTAAAGTCATCTCTCATTTATACTATTTCTAGACCCCTCCATTTCCTAGATTGGGAGGTGGGTATAGGTGGTGGGGATCATCTCATCACCAAGTATTTGTATTTGTTTCACCATTTATAACTTAGGTGTCACCTCTTTTTAAGGCAAAAGAGCATTTCCTGATCTTAACACTTAACCAGAAAACTGTGAGGTTCTGAGCACACTAGACCCTGAAGTGTATAGCATAGTGGACCTATATGAAATTTTACAGTAGTAAAAATTCAGAAACTCATGTCAAATTTAGGGATGAAGTTTGACCTGGAAACTGAGTATGCCTAAGACTCTCAAATATGTTGATTTTGTATTGGAAGAGTAGGCACTATGTTTTCCACATAGCGCAATAAGGCAGAATAAGTGTAAAACAGGAAAATCTGTATTGATTTGCCACATATTGCTTCAACAGAGGGTTTGTGACAAATAGGTATTTCTGAATTCTTGCAATGCATTTTAGCAATAAAGGTAGACAGAGATAAATTGTACCAAATAGCAGAATCCTCCAGTTGATTACACTATTGTGGAAGAAGCCCAAGTCTCTGTACTGCTAAATGAAATTGTTTAGTAAATTAAATTAAGAGAAACTGCTGATCTGTTTAATTTAGACTCAAACCTTCTGGGATCTTTTCCTCAAAAGCAGGGTTCTTGGTTTAAAATTATGAAACTGCTGTGAATTTTCTGGCTTTTGCAAATCTAGCTAAAATTCAATCTTAAAACTCTCAGGTAATTTAAAATTTCAATTATCCAATACTCATAAAGTGCTTTTATTTATTTGTTTATTTATTTTGAGATGGAAGGACTAATGTAAGTACAGAAAAAGAATGGCCAAAGTTATGCCAATTCTTATCTAGTAATAGAATAACAACCCAATCTTCTTTCTTTTGAAATTCTTGTAACCATAGATGCTAAAGAAATGGAGTCACAATTTTGATATATTTAAAATCAAGATTAGGATGTTTCCATTTATTTCTTATTTAGTGTTTTACACATTTAATTAATTTCAATTTCATTCTCTCCCAGCTAAAATAAAAAAAATTATCACTTAATTTAGATATTAAAATTCAGTGTACACTTTTGTAATCTTAAGTTTTTGATTTTGAATAGTTTCATATACATCTGACACCAATATGCTATTTTTTAAAGTATTCAGTATTACGGCATGCCTGTAGTAAGCATGTAAATATCAGTTATTAAGCTTATGAATAAATGTTTACATATAAGAAAAAAATCTCAATACTTTTGGTTAACTTGGAATGTGCTTTATTAAAAGATGTTTAATAATTACTGTACATAAACAGTTTTCTCTTTCATACAACCTTGATTGTTCTCTCTTCCACTATTGGACACTATCAGTTATAAAAATGAGAAGGTTAATTATCTTGAAGAGGATGTTTCAGCCCAGGTCCCACCATGTAGAATTCATGTCACTTTTGAACAAACCTCTTAACCTAGTAAAATTTTGTTACCTTAAATAAGGATAAGAAAATTTGCCCTAATTTCTTTATAGAACTGTTGTGATAATTAAATAAACTATTATCTTAATCGTTTTTAAAAGTATCAAGGCATACATTTACATATATATGTATGTACATGTAATGTCATATAGAATAGTAGCATTCTCAAATACAAATCAACATGATAATTTGCATAAGTCATAGATAGTACATGAAAATAATATAAGACAAGAAAATGATGGAGGCAAATGGATAGATATTAATTCATTTAATT